CCGCCAAATATTTTCATACATTTTGTATAGAATTTGTTTCGAATTTCAGTAATTTCCATCGCCTGGCATAACGTAAGACCGAAAACATATCTAACACAATGGGCAAAGCGCCGACCTTGTGGTCAATTGGAGCGCAAATGAAGCAGAAACTTTTGCAGAGAACTGAACGGAATTATCCCTAACACACAGAATAGATGGAGCAACGCAACAAAGGGCAGTTCGACACGACGCTGCATCCTAGATTTTCTATTTGACAATATTTTTTACTAGGAACGGGTGCTTCAAATATACCTTCACCGATTCAAACGCTAACCGGAAATGCAACTACTGTGGAGAAGACGCAATAGCAGACGTCCACTATGTCTCACGATGTAATGCTTTACGCCAGTCCCGTGTGACGAAGATTCCGGCGAAATAACATGCTTTTCTTGTTGTTGTTATGTAGGGACTGTCGTGCGCCCCTGAGGTAACATTGCCACCCATTTGTCAAATTTCAAAAGCTAGCAGGTAATTCCGCGTTAGAAGTCTTGCCAATTTTATAGAGTCCTTTTATAGGCGCAAACTCATTCCCAGCTTAAATTTAATTACTTACTGGACAACACAACTGACGAAATTATATTGATATAGGTTTTTAGTTAGTTAGTTAAGTGTTTGGGTGCAGCACAAAAAAAGAAACTGCGACCTGAAAGATCCTTTGTATCTTTACAGAGTATGCCTGAGATACAAGTCATTATTACAAAGGGTTCAACCATTAATGCTTTAAAATGAATTAGTCTAGCCAAGGTAGGATGGGGAAAAAGGACGCGCTTTAAAGTTGCATCGTTCGCAACGCAGAACTCCAACTCTCCGATAACATCTATTCGGTGCTTATGTAATCATAATTAGGAACTCAGCCAGTTGCCTGATGTGATTTCTGTTTAAAATCATAATATCTTTTCTAATGAAGAGAAGAGATGGGCTTGTCTATGAGTCTCAAGGTTCTCTCCTCGAAGAAGATTAACGGATACCATAAAATGGTCCCGGTCTCGAAAAAGCAGTTAGGTATCCTTCTCGTATCTACTCATTAGAGACACCATTGGGTTCGACTCAACAACGGCCTAGTCCCAGCACAGTGTTATTATTTTTCTAGCTACCACGTGTCAAGTTTGTATTATATCATCCTGTTAGACAGGCACCACATGTCTATCTGGAAGGATAACTACAAAGACACCTTTAAATCTTCAGTTGCAAGTTTGGAACTGCAAGTTTGGTACATATCCGTAAATACTGTAAAGTTTCATCAAAATCAATCGAGTAGTATTTGCCTGAAAGCATAACAAATATTCATCAAAACATAAATATAATCAGCCTTATCATGAGTTAAATTTTCTCCGAACCGGTTCACTTTTCACTTTTGGTTTCCATAGTTTTACTATGGGCGGATGACAAATTTTCGGGCGAATTTTCTTTCAGGCGAAACTCAGGATAAGGCAGAATATTAGAGAAGAAAGGAAGTGGGAATTAAATTGAGCCATTCGAAATAAATATTTTATTTGAAAACGAAAATGCAATGTCAGTAGCTAGGTTTGGTTATTTTGAGCCACACACACTTCGAACCTTGAGTAGTTTTATATTAGGCATAAGCACAACACACTCAACATCCTAAATACGCCAGACTGCCTAGTAGGTATGTATATCAAAGTTTGCGCATATCTCGTATATCGTTTATTTGCTCATAAACTTTGCAATTCTGCAGGTAAACAAAATATTCCACGTTGCAATAGCATACACCTACATATGTAAATGTGCATATCTATGTATTTGCTTTCTGCATGAACTCATCGATCTCATTCGGTAAATTTATAAGGATTTTGTATTCTCTTTTTGAGTTCATTTCGCATGACACTTCTTTGTAGAAAAATGTTTGACGTATCCCTGCATGGCCCCTTTCGGGTGGTCATACTGCTGACGAATATGCAGACGAGAATTAATTATCATTGCCAGTTGAGTAAGCTACTCGTATCAAAAGAACACACGCTCATATGAATAAGCGTCCTTTATAAGCCTCTATAAGCGTATGAGTATGTTTATATGCAAGAAAAGTCACTTGTATTATTTAACATGGACTTAGTTGCAAGTTGGTATATTGCAAAGCATCAGCTTCTTTTATTTCTAAACTATAACTGTTGGCGTTCGAATATGGTTGCGAATATTGGATATTTGCATCAGTTATAGTTTAGAAATAAAAGAGGCTGATGCTTTGCAATACACCAACTTGGAACTCATAGCCATACACATAGTCTTTACATTGTTAATTTCAATCACCTAAGCGTTTTGGACAATAAATAACAATTAGCGAGAATTTCATTGTTATCGACATCGTTAAAACTGTTTCTGCACTTTCCTTTTACTTATTTAGTATCGTTGGCTATTTCACTGCGTGCCAGTTCTAAACAATAAAATCTTGTCAATACACGTTTTGCAAAGCTCCAACGATTTTCTTATGGCGTTTTCATTTCTACAAGAAAAAAAATTTCCTTTCCACTGGCCGCTTAGTGCTTGTTTGAAGAGGGAAACGAGAAGGCAAAATTTTTTTGGTAATAAGCCGAAACGCCATGAGTGAAAATGGCATGCAATCGGCATTCTTATTTCAGAGGTGTATTCAAAACGCTGTTTCCGAATATATCCTTCGTTTTTTTTCAAATGGGTTCGTCTTTTCGAATTATTAGCAAGTTTTGCAAAATTTTTGACTGCTGAAATTCTGAAAGCTATATTTTCCCCACCGTGGTAAAAATGTATTTATGCAAACGAACATTTAAGTTCCGAACTCACATGAAAAGAAAAAATATAGCTTTGTATATTTGAGTATAAGCCCACTGTACATATAATAAAGAGCGCTTTTAAGCCAAAAACAAATACTTTGGTTTATTTGTTTCAAAGTTATTTTGTTATAGGTCAAAGAGTTCACATCGCACAGTTGTCAAGTGTCCCTTAATGAATAGTTAGAAGTCTGCGATTAAATATTAATTGACAAAAAATTTTTGCTTCCTAACTCTTTTCAAAGAAATTTTTTCTACAGATGTTTACATATATATTATTTGCAAACATAAGCGAAGGAAAGCACGAAAATATGCGAGAACCCGCTCCTGTTTGGGTTAGTTCTGCACTGTAATGTCGAGAACATTCCGCGGAAGAACCAAACAACAAAATTTTGAGGGCAGTTTTAACGGGAACAAAATGAGACCAAAAGGTTCAGAAACGCTTCCGTAAAGAACAAAATACGAACAAAACTAGCGGGAACGTTCCCTGAAGGAGAAAAATAGGAAACAAACTCTCAAGAACGTATACAACAAGAACATATTGAGAACGAAATTTCAATGAGAACGGAAGTATCGAAAATATTTTCAAGGAGGATCAAATAAGTACAAAATTCTGGGAACGTTCTACTAGAAAACAAAACGGGAACGAAAGTTTGAATTATTTCAACTTCCAGATCATATGTCATTACGGTTATGGGACATTTTTATACTTTCTGTGCAAGAAAAGTTATTGTCTTAAGACTTCTGTTGACATACATAATTTGCATATTTATCTTTCAGTTCTTTTTTGATTGATTTTAATATTCAACCATTTCAAACTAATGCAAGAGAATATTTGTTCCTGTTTCGTTCTCTGTCAGAAAGTTACTGAAACTCTAGTTACAATTTTGTCCTGTTCTGTAGACCTTTGCTCCCATTTTGTTCTCCTAGAAATGTTTCGAGAAGAGTTTTTTCCTTTTTTTCTTTGAGAACGTTCCACATGGTTTTCTCCTTATATAATTCCCATTGAGAATGTTGTAGACAGTTTTGTACCCACTTTCGTTTTTGTAACACTCCCGAAGGTTTCATTTTAGTTTTTTAGGCGGGATTAGGAACAAAACTACGATAACGGCATTTAGTTTGGATCTGCATTAGAACGGACTGTTTGTTCTCGGTTCCTATTTCAAGAGCCCTTTCAAAGTTTTTCCAAGGATTTTGAAACTAAAGACCAGCTAATGCAATAATGCTCGTTACTCATCACAATAACATATGATCCTTTGGAATAGTTTCTTCTTTTTGGATAAACATATTTTTAGGTTATAGGAAGATTTTTCTTTGAAAACACCAGCGCTGCATCAAATTTTTCCAACATATGTCTGCATTCGGATAAGCATATTTTCCTTATCATTATATGTAAAATCTCCAAAAACATTGATTTATTTCTCTATATTACTAAGCGTGTGATATGTACATACAAACATACTTGTATGCACGAAACATATTAACGCATACCTTAGCTAAATTTAAATTTGATGTTAATAACCTGAAATAAATGAAGTGAAGTTTAGCTCGCATAAAATTATGCAGTTTCAGTTATTATTTTCAAAACTTCTGTTGCAGAATTTATTTTATTTCGAATGCATATTAAGAAATTTGTACGTAGTAGAGAGGAATAGAGCAGTAAACGGTTTTCTTTGAGTTCTGAGTTCTGTCGATATTGGAAAATCATTCGTCTACGAAAGTACTTTTAAAAGTTATTGTGGAATCTGATACGTAGTAGTACCTTGGGTTATCAGGGTTAGGGACTAATAATAGGTATACAAAAGATCTTCTAGACGTAATTTCACCCATCTAATTAGTTAGCCACAGTAAGAGTGAGTTTAGTTACGTATTCTAAGGGCTGGTTTCTCCAACTCAACTTAACTTAGTTAAGCCAATTTTCTTGACTTAGTCATGAATAAGCTGTGTAAATCGTAGACTAACTTTTGACTTAAGTCCAAAAAGTGGCTAAACTAAGTTAAGTTGAGTTGGAGAAACCAGTATAAGTATATTTCTCTCAACACATGGTTTGTTTACAGTTTCCACGCAACTAAACTGTTGCCTCAGTGTAACCAACTAGTTTTTTTTTTAGATGTTTCAATTAATTTGTCTCACAAAATTGGCCCGAAATACAATTTTACATATTTTTCACACGAAACTATGAATATGTTTTTAATTACTTACCACTTCCTTTTCGATGTTTCACTTTCTTCTTCGAAATTCCTTGTAGTTTTGTGCTTTTGCAATATTCCAGTAATGGTAAATAAGTAGGTACAATAAAAAAAGTATAGTAACCTTTCGAATGCTCTACGCAAAAAATTTCACTTTCCAAGTTAATGCATTTGGTGAGCACTTTAAATGTACATACATATGTTTGTGCATACATATATGTACATATATATGTAAGTTTATTTCGGTGAAGATAAGTGCATGCAACGCATATAAATCGACCGCTGAATACTTAAATTTGTTTACGTAACTGAGTACATAAGCACACATACATATACTAATGCATTCGTAAGCAATTTGAAAACTTTAAAGTGGAAAGACAAAGAAAGGAGAAATGAAATGCAGCTTGAGCCACCATATGACATGCATACATACATACACACTCATATATAGTATGCAAGTATGTATATACATGTATGTACATACCTGCGGCTGCATTCAAATGACGTTCTACATAAATCAACGTAAAAAATAAAACGAAAAAGGATGCCACTTCGTGCTGTCGAGCGAACTGAAAGGGTGCTGAAGTGCGTGCTGTTTGCTGCTGTTGCGGCATTTCAAGCGCCCATTTCATTCACTCCTTTCACTCAAAACGAATGCCGTAGCAGAAAAGTGAAAATGTTTTAACCTGAATGTTGCAGCTTGGAGAAATGAACTCTAAAGTGATTTTTACTTGTATTTTCTTAAATATACCTCAGTTCGTTTTGATTAACTCTAGTGTGTTACCAACCAAATATTTTTACACTAATGACCAACCAAGGCACCCAGGTACCTATGCACATATTTATACGTAAAAGTGTACTGTAATCCAAAATAAACGTTTTTTGAAGGTCCGTTGCGTTGGTCTGTAAAGGTAAGCTAAAAGAAGGATCCCTGTCAAACTCTCCACGCCACCGCCCCCACACTATTCTACCACCCACTCCGATTTGCGTATAAGAGCCAACCAGCAGCTCTTGATTACATATCGGAGCATATCGGAATGTGTCATCAACCAAATTTAACTTATCTATGCCTTGGGTGGTGCCTCTTCCGTCTATGCTCTGGACTGCGCATCACACGCGAGTGCACAACAGACTACCGCCTCCCCTAGTGTAGAGCACTGCAGCCGCAGACACCAACGCAACCATTGCAGTCATCCACCAACAGGCAGCAACAACCAAACCAGCAAGCGCAAAAGGACCAATGTAGACTACCCCACACTTCTCTCACCCCCCACAAAGCGACGAGCCTCCCAAGGTATACGAAGCTTCTACAACTGAGCTGCAACTGAATGCAGTTCCAGAAATCCACGGCGTATTGATAGTTGCGATCCAAGAAATGAAACTGCACAGCAACTCAATATTGTTGAGTTGCGCCGCCTACATTGTGCTCCGTAAAGACCGCGAGCGAGATAATGGTGAATACCTAGCGTTAATCCTACATCACACTGGGCAGTCTTGTCTAATTGAAGAAGACATCGACCCCAGGGACACCACCCTAGAATGTCACCTGTCTGCCACCTGCTGCCCGGCAGGATATCACCGCGCACTACTCAGAGGTGAAAACCGAATGGTAGACTTTTGCATTCAAGCGTTTGGGTAGCTGCAGCACTTGGACGCGGTCCACATATACATCGTCGAACCACTGGACCTCACGACGAATCGACGAGCAATCAACGCCAATCATAGGGAGTTACCACCTACCGCGGCTGCCGGCATATGAGTGCCGTGATCGGAGCTCAATCAGTACCAATTACAAACTCGGAGCTTAAGCTACCATGACAGATCCCCGCTACTTTGGCCCAGTTACGTTCCGAATATTGTAGCCGTCTTAACAGTAACCTGTCCAGACTCGACTGCAACATCGCCAATGAGTGTCCGGCATGTAGAGACACTCCCTACAACAGCAATCAGCTCTTCACATGTCAGCTAAATCCCTTTGGGCCGACTAGTTGGACCTACCGTAAGTTGAGCTTAACAAAAAAGTTTATGGACAAATCGGAAAATATTGTCCATCGCAGGCCTTCGATTTCTCCCATATTTCGGGCAGTATTTACCAATTTTTTAAGGGAAAAAAAATTTAAATAATACGTGTCAAAAGTTATCCGACTACCTGGTTTGTAATATGCCTTAGGGTTAACATTTATATTAGTACTTTTTTATTATTTTTGTTATTATATTTTTATTATATTATAAATACATATCTATCATTAGCGAGTTCCAACAGCATTAAGCCAGCAATTCTTTTTGCTAATTACCTTTTTTGTCAAATTAGTTTTTCTTTGTTATCTACTTAAAATCTGCACCGTATTCATCGACGCGCCGAAAACAATTACCTATCGGCACGTAATTTCACTGATGACTATTGGCATGCTTAATTAGAAAGTCAAATTGAGTGTAAAACGAAATGGGTAGTTAAAAACAAAACTTGGGTTGCAGAAAAGCACCAATCCAAAATATTGCAATTTGTACAGAATGTTGCACGAAGTCCCCAACCAAGCCGGAAGCCACAGCGGTAGCATGCGAGTTATTTAAAAGCGAAATCAGAGCGATCACTTTCGACCGATCGAATTGTAGCAGCGCGACTCGTTCAGCGACATACACGCGCACATTCACACAAACACACACGCAAGCGCAAAATGCACTCACTCGATAACTAGTTTTTAGCTTGGTTGAAACCAGGTTTACGACACTGCCACTATTACCACTTCGGCTGCTACTACCCAGTGCGCTTCTTCCAAACCAAAATTAATAGTTAACACCAATCCAAGTTCAAGGCAAGTCACTTTGTGAAGTTAATTCTGCGTTTCACTAATTCTCACTTTTCGCTTATTTTCTTTCACCGCGCACACGCGACTGTTGCGTTTCAAGTCAGCTCGTTAACTGATCACTTTGAGCCGTATTGCAACACAACAGACTTGGCTAAGATAAGTCTTGCTGCCAAAGTAAATGCCCTGATGATGCGACTCAAGAGGTGGCGCGCTGTATACAAGAGTTGACTCAAAACGGTAAAATGGTAAGCCAGCCGGTAAACCAAGCGCGACTTTTGTGTTGTGTTAAATTTATTAAAAAGAGTTTTTGAGCTGAAGAATAACCAAGCGGGTTGCGTCTGCGCTGCTCTCTTACATTTTCTCTTAGTTTAACTCTTTTTTTTTTGCATCACACATTTTCGCACAGTCTTAACTTTAGCCGGGTTGGTTGCCTCGCTTGACAGTGACAAAGTGCCTTTTCTATTTTTCACTCGTATTCCATATTTGTCAACTTGCCACCGGCGCACTTAGTACGCGTATCTTTTGTTTGCTAGCCAAAATGAAGTGACAAAGTGTGCCGCATTGTTGTCGTCTGCGTCATTTGATTTTACTATTTTTGTTGTTTCAGTTTTTACTATCTGTTTGGGAGGTTTCAAGTGCAGCCGCTTGGAAAATTTGGTATTGGAAAGTTTTGCACGCACGTCACGCAGTGCATCGTGGTACTCGGATATGAACACCTACACATATGTATGAATATTGAGTGTTCAGTTAGCGACATCCATAAAATACTTAAATTCTGGAAAGAACTCTTTTCCACCTTGCTAATCAACACTAAAACGAAGATGAAGATGAACCCAAGTAGTTAGTCGAGAAAGTCGAAGTCGATGTGCCATCACTCAAACAAGACAAGGTGAGATTCGGTTGGGTTAGCTGCCTAGCCACTACATGGCTCCGCAGATACCATTAAGGTCGATCGCATTACCGGAAAAATTCCACCAATTTACGAAGCTTGTATCTGGAGAGCAAGAACAATGTTGAAGAACATCGCAATCCACTTGGAAAATTGTAACCACTTCTTGTAACCCCTTTGGCAGCTACCTCTAGATTCGGTAAAAATCTGCTCCCAGAAAACGAATCCATAGCCTGCTGAGTTCAGGACACTCACAGAGCGATTTGATGCAGTGTCTCCTCATTCGTTCCGAATCTCCTGAATATGTTATCACAGGTCAGGGCAAATTTAAATGAGTATGAAGTAAACTAACAGTTGTAACCAGTAGCTAGCATCCGCCCTGCTGTTGTGTGTTTGGTCCACAACTTCTGGGCCTGCCGTTCATGCATAGCTTGTAGGGAGATTAGCGTCTCTTCTATCAGAATAGTAGTATCGAAATACGGCACCTTCTTTGGTGAGTTCTTCAGCCTGCTCGTTGCCTATATCTAGTACAAGTGCTTATCCGTGCCAGTGTATATTTCATCCATGTCTGCCCTGCACTTTTCCACACTTATTGACGAAACGCTGTTTGATAATGGTGCCTTTAGCGCAGCCTGGATCCACTCGTTTACCTGTTCGGTTTCTGTTGCCCTCTTTATGGCCAATACTTCAAAGTGGAAAATTCTGCACTAGTCTCAAAACTTATAAAACCTACTATAATTAAGCGCCGCTCATAACACCGTCACGCCATTTTCGACCCACATGTGTATTCATTCATAGATTCAGCCCTCAGACACCATCCTTCGACCCATATTGTGGCTCCAAAATTCCTCTTGAAGTGCAGATCCAGGATCATGTTGTCAATCCGTCCGGATCAAGTATTATGTTGAGCTACATAATTGTTGCCTTTGCTTCAAGTGGAGAGTCAAGTCATCCTGCTTGGGCTTAGACCAGTTCCGAATCGTATGAATATTTTCTAGTGAAGAGAACTAGATCCATCTTTTCGGAGTTATTTCTGAGCTTTACATTGTTTGCCCAAAGGTGTGTGGGAGTATGTATCTCCAGTAGTATTCGGCTCGCGAGTGAGCTGAGTCTGAAAAAACACTTCCCACTTACTATGACGGAGACGTCATCTGCATAAGCGGTATCCGTTGATTCCAGAAGAGAAATAGCTCCCCTGCAACGTATAGACCAAGTGGAGAAGGACTTGGCTTCACTGACAAACTGTCGTAAGTTGACAGATAAAGATAAACGACTGGAGTTATTTATTGGACTCGAAGAAAAAAAGTTTTCGTAACACAGTAAAGCCTCGATTTCTATCTTTCACGATTATACGATATGATTTAATTAAATAAATTTTTTTTATTTGCTTTACATACTCGTATTTCACTAAATCTCTCTAAAAACTCGTACTTTCTCCTTCTACGAAATCAAAATGATTTAAACTATGTATTTTAGGCGCAGTAGGGCTTTGTGCGGCCGATGGGATGTAGTGGTATGCAATGCGCGCTTCCACGCCGCAGCGCCTGGATTCAAGCCCCGGTCGAAGCAACATTGCAAAAAATTTAGGAAAAAATGTTTTTTCTTAAAAGCGGTCGCCTCTCGGCAGGCCACGGCGAAACCTCCGAGTGCATTTCTGCCATGAAAACAGATTCTCATTAAAATACAATCGCCTTTCGGAGTCGGCGTAAAACTGTAGGTCCATCCTCTTTGTTTGACAACATCATGGCGCACACCACAAATCCGAGGAGAAGCACGGCCAAAGACTAACACATTGTGTAAGCGCCAATCTATTATTATTATTATGGCTTTGCACATATTTTCCTTTATAAGTTACATTATCCTTAAAACTCCGTTATAATTTTTATTTCTTATTTTGTGGTCGTCTTACTGCTTCAATTCATAAGAGCTCCTTTTCCTTTACTTACTCTGCTTGAGTTAAATAAATAAATAATTTCAAAAATTGCCAGTTCACATGAAACGTAAATAAATTCTCTTCAGTTCCATTTCCTGTGAATTCTTTAAGGGTATGTATGTAAATTCCTGTATAAGCATATTTTTTGACTGTTTGTGGCATGCAACAAAAAAATATGCCATACAAAACCACAGCAGTTGACGCTTCACAACTTGACAGTCACTTACCTCAAGTGGCATTTGCAAATTATGTACTTTGCTTAGTCATTGGGTCACAATGGAACTTAAAAATTAATTTTACTTTTATTTTCCAATAACAAAGAAAATAAATTTAAATACATTAGTTGACAGTCGTTAACGAAAGTGTACAAGTGGAAAAATCTCTGACGTGCAACACTCAGTTTTCACAAACTAGCGATTAGTTGAGTAAGTGTTCGCATTTTATACAAATTTCGTGCTAAAATCTCTTATAAAAATTAAAAACTTTAAACGCGTTTCCCAAAAATTTCACTGAATTTAGTTTTCGATATATTGGACGGAAATCCAATATGCGGCTATCCTTTCGTAATGTACACCATACGGAATTTGAATAATTTGAATTTGCGCCTAACAAACATACATACGTACATACAGATCAAGTTAAATAAAAGCTTGTAAAAACAGAATTTTATATATATAATATATACATATCAATCAAAAATTATCAACGTTGAATATGTACATCTGTATATCTACATATCTATGTATAATTTGATCTAAATATCTAGGTAGTGAAATTACTCAGTAAAATTATTCATAAATTGTAAATATCAACATAGTTTATTTATGAGTAAATATTCTCTGATACATACCACCTATTTCACGGTCAGTTATCCGCATACTCACATACATATTTTCCTGGCAGTGAGGCTCAAAACCAAGGATGTTTTGCACATTTGATATTTACAACCTTCCCATATACGAGTAACCTCAGCGCACAGATTATCGATAACGTAATAACAAATAGCATTATGCTATTATCCACCATAAATTTAAATGCCATATTCTCGCGTAGGTAACTGCAAGTTGAGCTTCAAAATAGAAATTAACCGATAGCGAAGCGTGCAAAATGACGCACCCACAAGCGCTTAACTTTACGCTCATCTACGTAAAGTGAATGTCATTTGCGCTGATTAAATAAGCCGTAATTATGTAAATGAGGCAATGGCTGCAGTGTGACATTGGCGACATTGCTGCTCAGCGAAGTAAACTTGTAACATAATTGAAAGAGCTACCATTCCGAGATTTCCAATTCAATAATGCGTTGACTTGTATGTAATAGGAATAGGGATCGTCCATAAGTCACGTAATCGTTTTAGGGGGGACGGATGTTCACGTATGGAAGCAGGGGGAATTTCGCATTTTCACGTGATGTGCTTTAGTATTAACTAAGAGTGCCAGTTACTGTCGAAATTCGACCGTTCTCCTAGTTTTCTAACTTATGTATATTATATATATATATTTATCGATAACTTCATCGATACTGTTGATTATTATATCGATAACAATATCGATTATTACATTGATAACATTATCGATTATTACCTTGATAACAATATCGAATATTATACCGATAACAATATCAATTATTGTACCGATAACAGTAAAGATTATTATGCCGATAAAAATATCGATTATTATATCGACAACAATATCGAGTATTATAACGTTAACAATATCCATCTTCATCCTCGTCTTTTTCTTCATATTTTTGCATATTCCCCTTCACTTTTTCTTAAAGTGTTTAAATTTACCTTATCTTTATGCATCTTGGTTTTTTGTTTTTATTTTTACCTTTGCCTTTATGCCACCATCTATGTACGTACTAACCTTTACTTTCATTCTTGCATTAGGCTTAATCTACATAAATCTTATTCTTAAACCGCTTATTAGCCCGGTTTTGTTAAATTATTTAATACCATGTGCAAGCAAGAAGCACTTGCAACTATTTCCGTCCCAACCACTTTGGTGTGCACCATTACATATACAAAAATACGGAAATGTTTAAACGACAATTTTGGCCGCAATTTCTACGGAAAATACCTTCCTAATGGTGTTTTTGGTTTTTAAATCGGTTGCAAAGCAAAATTGACGTTTAGGAAGTCAGCCCTCTTCTCCTCATCGCGCTCTAAGGCCGACCAAATATGCATTATTTTTTGCTCGTTTAACTTTTTTTTCTGAAAATGTTCTGGCAACACTGGTCACAATACCCGCAAAGGAAGAGGATAAAAGGTCTATGAAAAT